CGGGGTCTTTGTTCTCGCGTCCTGGCCTCCGGGATTGGGTGGGGCCTACCTGGCTCTGTGCGCGCTTTTCGGCTGGGAATCGTGGTGGTATGAGTCTGGCCCACACTCGGACCCAGGAGCCCTGCCACTCCCGGAGAACTTGCTGCCTCGAGCCTGAGAATTTGTGCTTCTTGAAAGCTCTCAGGGGACACTGATGCTACTGGTCCAAGGGCCACACTTTGAGAAAGAACTGCTGGTCTAGGAGGATGGATCGTGTGAAGGTAAAGAGCATTCCCTGATACAGGACCACATAGACCTGTGTGTAAGGAATGTATGATACATTGCCATTAATAATAGAGCCCTTGGCATACTGATAGACCCTGATATTTGGACCCATACAAGTTCTCACAGAGTCTGTGCTCTTGGCTCCCAGGAAGCCCTTGGAAAGGGGCTTATTTCCCAAAGGCACAGCCTCCTCCTGGGCAAAGCAGAAATGTCCTTGTTATCTCACAGCGGACCGTGAGGAACAAAATAAGAAAACACCCACACGGCACCTGGCTCGTGGAGGGACCACAGTAATGGACAGGTTTATTCTCTCTATTGGAAACATCTGCAAAGACCCAGACAAGCAACTCCAAGCAGGAGCAATCAGGTTGAGACCACGGTAGACTAACAGCCTAGACCACATACCTTAGCAGGACCTGGCAGCCAGAAGGGAGAGGCTGGTGTGCTCAGATAGGCTGAGAGGCAGCAGGCAGTGGGAATGACTCCCAGGAAAGTGACATGGCCCACTCCAAGAAGGACACGTGACCAAGAACACCATCAGGACAGGCTTCCTGAGAAGAGGACCCTACCCTAGTACCTCACCTAAGACCTGGAAGCAGGGATCCATCAACCATGGTATATTGGACGATGTTAATCAATCAATGAAAACTAGGTGAGAAGATGGATGGAATCCTTTTTCCTTTAGTCTGTTCCCTCTCCAGTTTGTATTTCTAAACTTTGCCCTTTTTCCCTGGCTCACTGCCTGGGTCTGGAGTTTGAAATCTCTCTGTCTCACTTCCCAAACTACAGCCCATGGAACACCAGCATCAGAAGATAGTGATGAGTACTCCACAGAAACAAAGGCTGAATGGGTTGAGAATCCCTAAATACCATGCTTCCCCTCCTGAAGGAGTGTGGTATATAAACATATTAGGAAAGTATTAAATTCTCTCTAAACATGTATGCATATTTACAAGAGCTTTGGCTCAGCACCAGTTTGGGAAAAAAAACTACCTCTCCACCCAAATAATCCTGCGCCCCTCTCACATCCCTTCTTTCTGCTCACATACTACTGCTGATCAGCTAGAACTACAGTGCGTCACAGCTGCTTACAAAGTACAAGGAACAGGCGCGGTGTGCGGAAGAGGGCCTAGCTCCTCTTTTCACATTTATGAGCTCTTCCTTAGGCACAAAAGGCCAGTTAGGTAGCAGCATGTTAATTTTCCCAAGTGTCCCTGGAGTGTAACCTCTAACCAATGCTGTTTCCTCCCACATTATGACATTTTAGCTTTACAACTTGTAAGACAGGCGGGGCAGAACATTATTCTCCTTGTTTTTAATTTGGAAAAAGGAGGCAATGGGTTATTGACAGACAGAATGTCATCAGAAAGACACTCTACTTACTTGGCTGTGCCCCATGGCCACCACCTTCTTCTCCAGGTCCAGGGTCTGAAGAAGCTCCTCCACCGCCTGGGGCAGACAGAGGGGGAAACTTAGAGGAAAAGATAGACACAAAGTAGGAGAATCCAAAAGGGAAGCTAAGGTCATCAAATGCTGCTGGGAGAGAGACAATGAGCCCACATGTCTATGAGCTTTGCCTAACAGCCCCAAATCACACAGGCATGTGCAAAAGAGGAGCTCAGACTGAGATACCAGTTCTTTCCATCCCCAAAGCAACCACAGGCTGGGCATGGTCGTACCCTCCGGGAGGCTGAGGCAGGAGAATGATAAGTTCATGTGCAGCCTAGGCAACTTAGCAACTTAGCAAGACCCTGTCTCTAAATAAAAAATAATAAAAAGGGCTGGATATGTACATCAGTTCAATGTCCTGTATCGCAAAAACAAAAACAAAACAAAATAGAAAACAAAATAACAACCTTTGGTAGGTTGTCCTTCCACCATGTCCATTTTATAGTGGAGAAAACAACAGCTACAAAGCAAAATGAAGAAGGTGGCTGCTATGGGAAACCACATGGTAGTTCCTCAAAAAAATTAAACAGAGAATACAGCAATCGTCCCTCTGTATATGTGCAATTGCCCCTTTGTATATGTGCCCAAAGGAAATAAAAGTAGGGACTCAGAGAAGGAAGGAAATTCTGACCCATGCTACATCATGGATGACCCTTGGGGGCATTATGCTAAGTGAAATAAAACAGTCACAAAAGGACAAACACAGTATGATTCCACTTACACAACTTGCCTAGAATAAGCAAACCCATAGAACATCCAGTAGAAGGGAGATGAGGAGTTAGCATTTAAAAAGTACAGTTTCAGTTTTCCAAAAAGAAGTTAGGAAAATATATGGTGTTAATGATTGTACCATGTTGTAAAAGTGCTTAATGCCACTTAAACATGGCTAAGATGGTAAACTTTATGTATATTTTAATGCTCATACAAAAATTTTATAAACCCCAGATGAAGGTAGTTCTTGAGGGTTAAAAGTTTACACAAAGGACAGAGCCAGATTCTGACCTAGGTCTGCCTGCCCCACTGTAGCATCTGCTCCTTGAACTGCTTCACCCACCTAGGGTGATTCTGGGGCACCCAAAGAAGTTCCCTTACTATGTCACCAAGTCCCCTTGGGACAGCCAACCAGCCCTCTGTGCTTCCTTCACTGTCCGTACCAGCTCCTGCCTCACTTACAAATATTTGCTCAATGAATGGCAATGCCAATAACTATATCTGCCTGACCAAGACTGTGGCAAGGAGAGTGTATGTTTATTCCTCATTTGTTTCCTCTGTTGCACTTCAACACTCTTCTACAAGAGGAGCTTGATAATTATTGCAATGAATGAATGCACGGCCAAATAAAGGAAGTGCAGTAGCAAGGGGTTAGACAGGGGCAGCCCCATGGAGGAACAACAAATTCACTCAAAGAGATTTCTAGATGCAGCAGTGACCAAATCACCAACCATTTCAATGGAATCTTCCTCGTGTCAAATAATCATACAGGCTGTGAAACAACCTCACCAGAGATGTGTACCTTCAGATAAACACAGGTCGTGCCTAGTTCCTTTGTGGCTGCCAACCCCCCTCCCACTTCCCCCTCATGTCGCCCCTCATTGGTCTCCCATTCACTGAAAATCGGGAAGTCTATTTTTCAGGATAAACTGTCAGAAACATAATTGCAACACTCAAGTAGCAAGAAACATGAGATGAGATTGGAGTCCTTGAGCAGATGAGATTCGATTCCTTGGGTCAACAGCATCACAGAACACTTCCTAAAACACCCCCCCCCAATTGCTTATTAAAAGTCTACTCCTAGACTGCAATTGGGGAGGTAGTTTTATTTTCTGACCTCTTGAGAGAACATTTTACCACACTCCTTCAAAATTTCAATGGCTTCACTTATTGCATTCTAGCCAAAAATGTTTCAAGGGAGTTGTAGGCGGCAGAAATGCATAAAACCAATGTATCCAAAATATAATGGTTTTTCTTTCTGCACAAGAAAAAATATAATAAAAATTGGCTGGAAATAAGGTAGATGGGAAAAAAAAGTGTAAGCCATGGCCAGTAAAATTTTCCTAAGTCTATCTTGGAGGTAAACTCTAGGGTAGATGTTGGGAGAAAAAGTATCAAAACCTGGAGTTGGATTTGCCTGAGTTTGGGTCTTGGTTTTATCACCCATAAACTGACCTCAGGCAAGTACTTCGCTTGAGCCTCAGACACCTCCCTAGAAGAAGGGAGAAATAATGCACTCTGTTCTTAATAGATTCTAAGGCTGTACTGCAGAGGGCTTTGCATAGAACAAGTGCTCAATAAATGTTTGAAGCTATTCCATGCCCATCATCACCTGTGTTGGACAAAACCTGGTAGAGATTCTGTAGAACACAGAAGCCTTTCTTTTCTTGGATACACCCCAAACACTCCCAAAGAGCATGGTCACCACAATAACTGAGGATTCTTCTCCACCTCTTTGTTTTCACAGAATCCTTAGGATGTCTGTGTAGCCAAGAATACCAGCCCTAATGGAGATACCGTATTCTGTTTTGTTGGCCTCATCTTGCAGATAAGCAAGCTCCAGTGCAAATGATGGAATAGGTAAATGCGGACATGATGCCATACATCTGACCCTTGTCCTTCCCTGCAACACGGTGATAATACCCTTTGCCTGGACCATACAGCACTTGGGAAGACTAATTGAGAATATATGAAAAGTACTTTGTAAATGACTTCGTGCTTAATTGCTGTTTTTGTTATCCTGATTGATAATATTAGAGTGAATGATATGAGATCACTCTTTGTTTAGGCCAAATATCAATTATTTCATTTTGCTCAACACAATGCAATCATTGTCCAGCAGCCATTTGGAAGGAAAAGACCTGGTACGAATGGGGGGTTATAGTAAGAAATATCTTCTTTGTCCTGGCCTGTACAGAATCAGCACGTCCATGGATCCAGATTGTCCAGATGATGGAGGTTTATCGCTCAACACAGGATATCACTTTGATGAGTAAGATATTTGCCATTTTGCTCCAAGGAAACAGTCTGTAGTCATTTTTTTCTAGGTCTGAGCACTGCTCTAAGGACTTTCACATAATAACTCTTTGTTTTCAAGTCTCTGCAATAGGTACTATTTCAACGCAATTTTTTTTTTTTGTTTGTTTGTTTGTTTTGGTTTTTCTCCGGTACCGGGAACCGAACTCACGACCTTGCGCTTGCCAGGCAGGCGCTGTGCCGCTGAGCTAAATCCCCAGCCCTATTTCAACGCAATTTTACAGGAAAAGAAATTGAGCCCAGTGCAAATAAATGACTTGGCAAAGGCCATGCGTCTAGCATATGTGACGGCAGGGGATGCAAAAGCAAAGATGGGACTTGCAAGCTTGCCCTCCACCCTCCAACACTGACATCCCACCCAGTGCCGACATCCACAGGCTGTGTCATCCTACGCACTCACCCCTCCTCTCTCTTCTCAGTTGCCTTTTCAGGAATATGAGGTAATCCCACCTGCGCCACAAGGGATGTAGTGGGATTGAGTGAGCTCATAAAGCAGCAGGTAAGAGTAAGACTTCCAGAATGGTGGAACAAGGAACTTAACAAATCCTCTCCCCTTTACCCAGAAATGACAAAAATGGATACTATTCCCCAAGGATCAAGTTCAAAATTCTGGAAATCGAACAAAGGGACTGAACGAATTGGGAAGCATTTATTCAAGAAAGACTACTGAACCTCAGGTAGGACGTGAGAGTTGGTGGTAATCATGATTGGAGGGGTCTCCCTTCCTCTTTCCTTCCCTCCACCCCAGTTCTGTCCCCGCAGAAACCCACCAGCATGAAGCAAATTGTGAAAGTTAGTGGCTTTGCTGCCAGAAGGGGTTTACGTGTATCGTGGAAGGGATAGAATCAGCCCTTACCTGGGAGCATAATTGGAAATGGTCACAACCTTGGCAGCAAACAAATGGGGGAGGTCAATGGCATTGCTAAGACTAAAGCAGTTGTCTTTGCTAAGGCAAACGATAGACCATGCACAAGCCTGAAATTTAACAAGGAGATATAGGAAACAGGACAACCTCAGCAAGCTCATTAAGTTTGTAGTGATTGATAAACTGATGGTCAGTTTGTACAGAAATGACTAGCCAGGCTGAGTGAGCGTGGTCCTGGGATTTAAAGGGAGAACAGGAGGGGAGGATTGTATGCTGGTTTCCCTCGGAGGAGCTTTGGCTGTTCTCTTCGGCTGAACTCTGGTGTTTGCCAAGGAGGAGCTCTGGCCCTCTCCATCACCTTGAGCATGGTCTGCTGATCCCTGGTACAGACACTTCTGGATGGGAGCTCTGGTCTTTGCCTTTGCTTTGGGCAACATCTTATGGTCCTTGGTGCGGATTCTTTGGCTTCCAGCTTTGGTCTTTCAGCCTGGGGGAGCAGACTCTCTAGCTTCCAGCACCAACCCTTGGACTTTGCAGCACAGATCATTCAGTCTTTCATCATGGACTCCGTACCATCCTGGTGTGGACTTGCCATGGACATTCGTGGCATCCAGGTCCTCACATCTCCAGAGAACATATAGATCTCTTGCACTCTTCTACATCTGACTCTTGTAAACATTGACTAATACAACATTCCTATATATTTCTGGCTCAAGCTAAGCACAAAAATAAAAGAGACTGGAGAAGGACCTAGCTGTCTTTGAATATTCCTCTTTGAACATATGCAGAGGCAAAAGAGAGAGAAAAGCAAAAGCTAGAGCCCTGATCCATGCAGAGCTCCATCACAGAATGTAAACACTGCACAGATTCAAGGAGTCTCATCAGCACCCCTGCTGACCACCAAGATATGTGCACACAGGAGGGTGGTATCACTGGTGAGCCAGGCTTTAAAATGAAAAGAATTTTAAAAAACTGGTCAGAGATGTCAGCAGTTCCACACCAAAGGAAAGAGAGAGTCTAGAAACCTAGTTAAGACAGTTCCTAAATGATTAAGAAAAGATCAAAATCTAGCATTGCTACAGTGTTTTATCTAGGATGTCCAGTTTTCAACAAGAAGTACAGGACATGCCAAAGAAACCTAAAATTAGGACCTATACCTGGAGGAAAGAGAAGTAATAGAAATCCTGTCGGCGGGGTCAGAACTTGGACTCAGCAGGCAAAAATTTCAAAGCAGTTATTGTAAATATATTCAAAGAACTAAAGGGGCTGCTACTCAGAGAGTTCACGGCAGTATAGTCTGGAGGTGTAGCTTAGTGGTAGAGTATGTACCTAGCACGCACAAGACCCTGGGTCAATTCCCAGCAAATGCACACATGCATGCACGCACATGCACACACATGCAGTGTAATAATGACATAAAATATAATAAAATGAAAACAAGTTATTTTAAAATCCAAGTGGAAATGCTTCACATGAAGAGTAAAATAATGGAAATGATAAATTCACTGAAGAGGCTTAACAGGAAAACCGACACCTGTCAATGAGTTTGCGAATTTAAAGACAGATCAATAGAAACTTCCCAATTGAAAGAACAAAGATAAATAGGAATAATGTAAAGTGAACATAGCCTCAGAGACATGCATGGATGGCAATGTCAAGGCTACTAATATTTATAGAGGAGGAGCCTCAGAAGGAGAGGAGAAAGGGACAGAAAATAACATGAGACACTGAAAAACTTCCCAAATTTGACCCACTCCCCAAAAATATTAATTATTCATCACAAGCCAATGAATTCCAAATAGGTAAACACAAAGAGATGCACCCAATGTGCACCATAGGCAAAACGCTGAAGGAAAACACAGTGAAAATCTTGAAAGCAGCAAGAGAGAATAACTCACTCTGTAAAGGGAAACAGCAAAACAATTCATGGCTAAACTTATCAACACTGAAGTCCAGAATGCAGTGACAATACATATTAAACATGTTGAGAGGGGCAAAAAAATCTTGTCAGTCAAGAGTTGTATACATGGCAAAACTCTCCTTCAAACATAAAGATGAAATAAAGGCTTTCCCAGGCAAACAAAGATGAAGAGAACTTCTTGCTAGTAGATCTATCTTCGGTACTTATAGTAAAGGATGAAAGAAATGGTAGTGGAGATAATTTCAATCCTTAAAGAATTAAGGAGCACCAGAAAATATGAATATGTAAGAAATTTAAAAGATAGAAGATTAAATAAAACTATAAGGCTGTATCATTGGGTTTATAATATGTACATATATATTTGTGATACATATTATAATAATGCCACCAAGATGGCAGGGGGAAATGGAGTTATATTGGAACAAAGATTTTGTATCCTGCCAGAATTACTGTTAATCTGAAGTAGATTGTTATGAATCATGATATACATTGTAAGCTCTAGAACAGTGCTGGCAAACCTATGGCATACATGCTGCAGTGGGCATGCAGAGCCCTCTCTGTCAGCATGTGACTCGAGTCCCCCCAGCCAAGGTTTGACAAACGATCAGCATGCATACAACAGCAAAGATCACATTAACTGTCCAAAAGCACACCAAATGCAAAATTTTACCTTTCAATAAAAAGCTGTTTGTATCGCTGAAAGCTCTGTCACAGTGTGTTACTGTTTGTGTCTAGATGTCCCCCTAAAGCCTCATGCAGTCATGGGGAAAAGGGCTTTTTGTTTTGTGTTGGTACCGGGAATCAAACTCGGGACCTTATGCTTGCCAGGCAGGCGCTTATGCCACTGAGCTATATCTCCAGCCCTGGGGCAGGGCTTTTTGGAGGTGGCTGAATCTAGAGTCTGTGATTGGTTCATTGTCTAGGCTGGGATTGGGGCTGTGAGTGCTACACTAGCCCTAGGGCAGGTAGCCTGCATACAATATAAGGGAGGAAAAGAGGCTCTCTCCTCTTTTTTGCTCTTGTTGCTTTTGGAATCTTCCATGTACTGTTTTTCCTTAGCCATGCCACCCTGCCTTGGAGCCAGCTGATTACAGACTGAAACCTTGCAAACTGTAAGCTAAATAAACCTTTCCTTCCATAATTTTGTGTGTCAGGTATCTTGTCTCAGCAATGGGAGAAAAGTAACTAACACTGTGTTTTCTTTTAAGACATAGGATGCTAATGTATGGTTGTTTTTTCTAAACTAAAACATCAATATTCTGATTTAATTATAATGTTGGCACTATCTGATAAATAAGTGGGTTTTGGGTTGCAGTTCGGGCACTTGGTCTCTAAAAGGTTTGCCATCACTGCCCTAGGGCAATCACAAGAACAGGGCACTCAAGTGGTCCACTGGAAAATATCTAGTTTACACAAAATAAAGCAGTGAAGGAGGAGAAGGATAAAAAACAGATTAGCACATAGAAATCAAAGAATAAAATAATGGGTATAATCACATTAAATATAAATGGATTGAACATGTTAATAAAATGGCTGAGACTGACAGCCTGGATTTGAATAAAATGACAACTCTATTGTTTACAAGACATACAGTTTATACTCAAAGACAAATTTTACAAAGGGGGTAAATGAAACAAGATAAATCATGTAAACACTAAACATAAGAGTGTTGGGGTAGCTGTATTATCAAACAAAACTAAATTTAAAACAAAAGTCATCAGTGAACACAAAAGGAGACATTGAAGTAATAAAGGGATAAATCCATCAGAAGGTACAGCAATAATAAATAATGTGTACATCTAAACAGAGAGCCCAAAACATGTAAAGCAAACATTAATATAATTAATGGATAGACAATTCAATGCTAGCAGTTGGAGCAGCTGGAGGTTTTAATACATGATTCTTCTCAAATGATGTAACAATTATATACAGAAATTGTGCTCTAAAATTGTGCGAGAGATTTCTCTATAACGTCCAAGAAGGATGCACTCAAAAGCATATGGGCTGACATCTCACATTAGGCTGTATGTGCTGGACAGGCAGTGGAAGACTGCAGGAAAAGTGAAGAGCCACTCTTGTGGCTCAGTGGAAGAAGATGCTCTCCTTGTGAATCACTGGCCCCTATCAGTACAGCAGATTCCACCATGAAACCCACATGCACAGTGCTCATCTGTTGAGAACCTACTTTGTCCTAGACGTTTTGCGATGGCTATTACATCTGCCTACGTTCAAAAAGAGCAGAAAGAGATGGGGTAAAGACACAATCTGAACCCAACCCTTCTGACCCGAAGCCATGTACTTTAACTAATGAACCTCTCACTCACACACTGAATTAATCTTTCCCTAACGATGGAGAGAATCTGTTACTTAACTATATATGCTTTGGACTATAATAGAAGGCCTAGAACAAGGTAGAAACTATACACACACACACACACACACACACACACACACACACACTGACCCCTGGACTGGATAACACTGATTAGAAAATATGTACAGTAATTGAAATCGTAGATCCAAACTGGAAGGGCACAGCACAGTGAGCAAGAAAAGTGGTGAAGAAATTCTACATTCAGCACCTGCAGAGTGGACAGCTCCCCCTCCAGGCGGAGCCTCCTAGGGACCTCTGCCCAACAGAGAGGACTCTAGGGATGAATTCAGAGGAAACTGAGAGCATCTACCAGACTTCGAGAAAGAGCAACAGTGGCTGCCTTTGAGAAGATGAATTGAAAGCTCTTAATTATGTTCTTCAGATCAAGTCCCCAGGGAAAGAGATTTTGTTGGCTAAAATCAATCAGTACCGTAGACAATCTGAGGGGAAGAAGGCAGGCCCGAGGGTTTCCTTGCACCACATCAATCAGAGACTTGGCAATTCTTGCTCCAGCAGAGTCTGGGAGGCAGCCAAGGGGAGCTGAAAGAGCTCCTTCACTGACCACCGTGAGTCCACCATGATAGTCGCTCTGAGTGGGCTTCAGCATTGGTTAAGGCATAATCTTAACCAGATGGGGTAGCCTGGGAGAGAGGAATGCTACCCACAATAGAGAGAAAAGGAGGACAATTTGGGAAGCCCGAGAATGTTCCTAGGTGCTAAAAGCTACAGGAACATCTTGAGCAGCTAGAAGTCAGCACAGGACACTGCTTCCCAAAAAGGACCATGGAATGGACCAAGAGGATTTTACTTCCTTCATGGTTTTCCTGCAGCCAGCCAAGGTCTTTGATTCCGCACCTCCACTGAAGAGCCTTCAGAGAGCCATCACTCAGTATGGAAAGTGCTTGCTCTAGTGTATTTTGCCTCGGGACTGTGCCCTGTTCATCCTGAAATAGATACTTGGTTCGTGTTGTCTCAAGTCATAGCTTTCTAACCTTTCACATTATGCACAGTACTTTTCTGAAGCACAGGTACACATATGAGGTAAAAGGCATATGCTATTTTTGTTACAAAAACACAAAGTACACAGCAGGTGCCCAGAGAATGAGAGTACTTCACTGCGAAAGAGTCATGGCATAGAAAGACACCACATGTTAGGCATGAGGGACACGTCACCAAGCCCAGTTTACACCCTGCCAATGAATTCCCTTTGCTGCCGCCTAGTGGCTGATGGCAATATTGACCTTTTCTAGCTGTCAAACTTGTCTTCCTAAATCCTAAGGTCTTAACTGCTTTGCACACAGAGGCCGCTGGTTTGCCCACCCGAGCACGTGTTCATGTATAATTCATGGCATATTGCATTGCCTAGTGAATGAATATTTATCAGCTTTTTCATAAGAAGCAGAATGGTGTTTCCTTTCTTTGCTACTAAAATTCTATGCTGTGGCAAATGAAATTTGTGAGCAAATAAAAAAAGAATATGAAAAAACAAAAACTGCTAACCAAGTCCATTCCGCTTGTAATTTTCCATTTTCCTGGGGCCTCCAGTGTATACTGAGAAGGTTTCAGCTTGGCTGCAACACAGACCTGCTGACTCATCCAGAATAGAAACACTGCCATATGCTACACCCATTGCCCCCGCGGAAAACGCCCCCACACCCAACTCCAGCCCCATTTTCAATTGCAGAGGAACCCAAGACCTTTTCGATGGGTCCACTGCACACCCTCTGCAAGGACATCAGGTTTGGAGGAACCAAAAATAAAGAGCCCCCAGGAATGATTGGCAGAGTCGTTGATGACAGCAAGCCAAGCAGAATGTCATGGCTTTCTAAACTAACCCATCACCCTGAGAGGGGATGGCGCTGCATCATGACCCTTCTCACTGTGAGCTGGTCCTGCCTAGTCTGCTGGAGGTGGCTTGTGCCCTGGCATGGAGAAGAGCCAAGGGACCTGATTACCATGACTGTGCTTCCTTCTCTAGCTTTGTAATCCACTGACTGATTGAGGACTACAGTGCTGATGATCTCAAGCACACACGAACTCACTCCTGTAGAGGTGAGGCTTCAACAAGTATAAAGTCTGCATGGTACAGTTGCCATTACCCTGGATTTAAAAGATGCCGGTGATGTTGGTGGAGTAGTTAATATCTATTGAGCCTGTGCTACATGCCAGGTCCTCTGTACAGCACATCACCTGTACCAAAACATGACATCTTCAGGACACCCTGTGGAGGCACGCATTATGGATGGTCCCACTGTACAGATGGGAAAACTGAGACAGAAGAAAGAAGTAACTTGCATAAGCTCATGCTGCCCAAGCTGGTAGTCAAATACATTTCTATTTGACTTGAGAACTATTTTTTTTCAACTACCAACCCCTGAAATCCAGGCAGTGAAGTTCAGGGAACAAACCCACAAATGCCTGGTTGTGTGGCCTCAGGAGTGTGGCTTCATTTCTAAGAGCTTCCATTTTGTCATTTGTAAAAAGCAAGCACATAATAGCTCTTCTTTTGCAGGGCTGCTGCAATGCAACTGGGCAATTGGGCTTTACAAATTCTAACAAGCTCTGTAATTATTGATAAGCCCATAGCCATTCTCAATAGAAACACTTATTGTAAAGACTTTGGCACCAGGAACAAAGACAAGAGATCGTGACTGTATAGCAGAGTTGGAGAAAGGAGACACACAGGAGCAAAATATACAGGTGAGTACTGTATATCCACACAAGTACAAATAATTGAGCTTGGCAATACTGGTCAAGCCAATTTGGTCATCCTGTGGTACCTTTTAGCTGGGACCATTATTAGATTCGCTAGGAGCCAGAAAACATATAGGGTGTCTACATAATTCCCAATAAGGACAGAGGCTACACAAACATTAAAACAAAGAGCAGCATATATGAGTCAGACCTTCATAGCTGGATGTCACCAGCTATGCAAGATTGGAGAAGACAGTTAAGGGGAAAGGCTGCTGCAAGGTCCCTGAAGCAAACATTCATTACAGTCCCTAAGTGGAGAATATCTCCCATGCACTTTGGGCTCCGAAGCCCTGTTCGTGTGTACCATCCCCAGGGTCAATAGGGGCCTCAGGAAATGGTGGTTTTTCACCTTGCTGCAATCCCTTTTAGCTGAGACAGGCTGTTCTCATCATCCTGGTCTCATTTTCCTCTTGTACTTCCTCACACACAGTTCTGGAAGGGCGACTGTGGTAGGTGAATGGATGGTCCCCAGGGACATGGCGGGGAGGGTGCCATCTGGAGCAGAGGTCTGAGCCAAACCTCACCCCTTAGGATCACCCCAAAGCCTCACTCTCAGGTCCCACCCGATCCAGATCTCCCTTAGGGTAGTCCCATATGAAACAGGAGCTCAGCAGAAGCATCCAGAGACCCCACCTCCTTGCACCAGCTTCACATACCTTCCTCTCATCTATTCCCTCAGGGGCTGACGCGAGCTTCTTCAGCAGCACAGGGTCTAGCACCTGAAAACGCCGGCGGAACTGAGCGAGCCCCATGTGGTCAGCGTAGCCTAGGAAAGGGAAGCAGGCAAAAGTCATCACAGAGGCCAAAACAGAAGAGCCATCCCAGTGCTCTGGATCCCCAGGAAGGAGTTCAGAGTCCTGCTCGCAAACTGACTACTAACTTGTGTAGACTCCCATGCCAATACCTCAGCTAATTTTGCTAATTCAACAGATTAAATCTGACAGGCATTTCTCAAACGTGTTCTCCAATATCCAAACCTCATTCAATGCACTATTGACATTTTGAAAAGGCTAAACTCTTCTCTGCCTCTCAGAAGGTCACAGTGCACATCAATACCCAAGTCAAAGGCTCTGAGAAGTCCTGTGGTGGAGCTGCCTGGACAGTCTTGATTTTCTTAAACCTGTTCACCGGTGGCAAATTTTTTCCCCACCGCTTTTCCTACTCTTTAGAATGCCTGAGAGGGATGCTGCACTGTGAGGTAGCTGAGGGCTTTGTAAGTCTATCACATGGGTGGACACAGCTGTGTTCTGAAGTGTGGGAAATGACAGAGAAGAAGGACTTGAAAAGCTACGAGCGCCAGCCTTTGAAGGAGCCAGAAGAGTTTTCCCGCTGGAAAACTTGTCATGGAAGGAAGTTACACAGAGGGAGCTGTGAAGATAAGACTCAGAGTGAGGAGACAAACTTGACCCCAGAGCCACACCAACACCCACCATCTACGGAGCACTTACATGCGCAAGACACTAGGGTGCAACCTCCTCGTGTTTTAGACACTCCTGGAATGTTCTTATTATGAATATGGAAATCGAGGCCCAGAGAGTTAAGTACACCTGGTCACACAGGTGGGAACTGTCCCAGCCCAGATTCAAACTCAGGCAGAGAAAAATAATCTAGTGGAGAGTAACCAAAGATGAGCAGAGACTGGGCCACCAAGAAGTATGAACTCAGATTCTGCGTATCAAGGTTGGAGCCTCTTCCTCGGTGTAAGGGACATGGCAGAGCCTCCGTTGCTGCAGAAAGATCCTATAAGCAGCCAGACTGGAGAAGGTCTGGTGGAATCTAACTCTGATTTTGAGACTCTGCAATAAGCCAAGTCCATAAATAAGGAAGAAGAGCAATGGGGGATGTGGTGAGACAATCTAAGACGTCTCCCTGGGAGAGGAGGAGGGTCTCAAGCCAGCTCTGGAAAATGCGGACAGCACAAAGACAGGGATGCAGGAGGTTACAAGCCCGCATTGTTCTTTGAGGTCAGGCTGCTGGGTTCATATCACATCTCTGTCCTTATTATCCCTGTAACTAGGGACAAAAGAGGCCACCGCCAGGTGATTTAATTTCTTCATCTGACAAATGAGAATAACAGGATGTATCCTCACACCCATGGTCACTGTAAAGGTGACATCTGATGACAGTATGGGTGAAAGTGGCTAAGGTGTGCTACGTGCGTTCCACTGCCAGCTACTTTCCTAAGCTTAATTCCTTTATTAAACCACCCAGCGCTGGCAACTACAGGAACGGAAAGGGAGCATGCACTAGGGACTTGCCTGGGGTCACACAGCTGGTGAGTCTGAGCTGTGTCCTGTAGGCTGTACCGCAGGTAATGTTTCATGAACATTTACTACACAGTCATCCCTTGGTATCTGCACAGCCTCCCATATACTTTAAGCCATCTCTAGATAACTTATGATAGCTAATACGATGTAAATGTTGTATAAACAGTTGTTTACTATACTATGTAAGAAGCAATCAATGACAAGGGGAAAGTCTGTGCATTTCACTACAGATGTAATCTTCTTTCAGACACTCTTGATCCTAGGCTAGTTGTACCCACAGATGTGGAACCCACAGATTGGGAAAACTGACGGTATGTCAGACACTATCCTAAGAGCTTTGTAAGAACGACCTCATCTAATATATGTAGCAACAAGTCCCTGCCAGACAGTAGGCACTCAGTAAATAGCATGCATCTGTATGCATTATGCATGCACATATAGATGTATATGTGATATAGGCATGAATTCAAATTCATAAATATTTAATGCATATACCTATGTATGCATGTAAATATATCTTATGTGGGTGAAAGACAGAAATGACTTAGAATAAGGAAAAAAAGAGGAAACAAACCAGGTCTGGGAGGCAGAAATTGGAAAGCTCTACCATGAAACGTCAACCTTTTACGGAATGGAAAAGCTCACACTAGCTGAGCTGGGCCACATTTACAGAGGGGGCAACGCCCACAGTGAGGAAGGAGATACCCCAACCCGAGCATCACGCTGGGGTGCTAATGGGACAGCAGACCAGGGAGCCTGCAAAGGCCCAGTGCTTCCTGCCTGCTAGCTGGGTGGAATCGATTAACTGCGGGGGCCAAGCTGCCGGCTGTGACCATCTCATTCTTCCCCCGTGACATTATCTGTCTCTCTCTGCCTGTGTCTGCACAAGTGGGCGGGAAAATCAATGATGTGCCCAGGGGAGTTCGAGTCTCAGCTGTGCTTCCAGCCGCTCCCAGCTTCTCTGTCAAATACTTCGTGCCAGGGTTCCATGATTAACCTGGTGGGGGAGATGGTGCGGCAACCACAAGCTGGGGTGTTAGTGACCACAGAGGCATTAAACCAACAGCTGCCCGCCTGCAACTCCCACCAGCCCCAGCCACACCATCCTCTGCAGAGGGACTGGCTGTGCTGGACCATTTCTACCAGCTGAGAAGGGGGAATCATGCGGCAGCCTTTGAGGCTGAGAGGCAGAGAAAGTGGGGAGGTTTAAGAACAAACACAACTCTCAAGATCAAGTAATGGTGGGAACTACAGTATATGCCTGCTTAGTCAGCTACAGACCTGACACCTTCCCTCCTCTGGTTAAAGCCCCTGAAGCCTCTAACCCCCATCATCTCTCCAAATGACCCGGTGAAATCTAAGTGCCCAACAAAAGCACCCACTTCCCTCCCTGGTGGTGGCACCAGCCCCCTGCCACAATTCCTCATGCATTTTGAACACCACTCCTGAAAATCCAGGTTCTTTTACACCTCCATGCCTTGGTACCTGCTGATTCTTCTGCCTAATGTTCCCTCTCCCTCCTAACTCCTAGGAGGAGCTGCTTCTTATGCTGCAAGACCCATTTAAGGTCTTATATCCTCTAGGAGGCTTCCCCAGCCTCCCAAGAACATAAGCCCCCTCCTCTAGATGTCTGCGTTTCTGCTGCATCCCTGGGTGATGTATGCCTTCCTCATATTACTACTTCCTGTGATCACAGTGATCTTCCAAACTAAATCCAGCACCTCAAACATCAAATACTCATTGTGGAAAGTCTGCTTTCTGCCCAAGAGAGATGAAGATGACTCAGCCCTAGCCTTTGAGGAGCATGTGAGCAATTCCAAAAATCACACGGATGGTGGTCCAAGTCCAGGCCATACCATGGCCCAGCAGTGTGACCTTGGGCAAGTCCCTTGCCTTCTCTGGGCTGAATGCAGTCTCTCCCTCACAGGGGTGTAAACAGCTCCTGGTACACAGTAAGTACTCAGGTCCCTTGGCTGTCACTGGTAGACAAGCAGGTCTCAGGTTCAGAGGGCAGGTTCCCAGTTGTCTCTTACCTGCCCTGTGCAGACGTAGTGCCTCCAGGATGTGAGAGCCTGCAAGCTGGACTCTCAGTGCCGGGATGTCTGGGGCCAGGGGTTTGCCTGCCCCAGGCTGGTCTCCAGGCAATGGCGGTGGCAAAGACCCTTGCTCACCCTTGTCCACTGCAGGAGTTGGCACCAGACAATGGATAAAGTGCAGTTGAGACCGTCTCACCAAGCTGATCAGTGCATCCTAGGGTCAAGTACAGAGATTAGGGTTTTCTGTCAAAGAGAGGCGTGCAGGGTCCCAGACACTCCCCACACATGCATTCAGCCTGGTCTGGGCATCTCTGGGGACCCCCAAGTCCTATACCAAGGTCACCTCACCTCCACCTTGATATGTACTCACAAGAAATGGGATTTTACAACACCCCCAAGTGAGATAGATGGAGAGAGTGAGGCGGGGAGAGCCCAGTGAGTGACCCCAGGGCACACAGCCCACCCATAGAAAAGCTGGCACTAGGACCCAGGACTTAGGCTGAGGGCTTCTCCATTGCGATACGCTAGGAGGATTTCTTCCAAAACATATTCTTCCCACGTTTCAGCCTGTTCTCATTTGGGTTCAGCCTGACTATTGGACCAATTGAATGCTCTCATTTGGTACTGTTCCAGATCTAGGTGACATATCCACATCCAGTCCTGGATCCTGCTGCCTCTGTCCTAAAAGAGACAGCCTCCTGGTGGGAGAGGCAATGTAGACAGTCTGGTATTCATCACCCTAGCCAAGAGGGCATGGGTGACTCCTGGGCATGCCCTATGCCCCTCAGCAATGCCAAGCAGCTGAGACCGGGGCCTCAGATTTGGCTCGACTATTTCCCAGGCCATGGCCATGATCAAGTTTATCTGTGCCCTGGGGCATCAGATGTGTATTTGCCAGTTTGCTGGGGAGGCCAGAGGGGACTAGGGTCGATGCCCCTCCTCCAGAGGACCTGAGGATCTGTGGCCTGGAAGGCCGGGCCCCACTCACCATCTGCAGCTTGATCTGGGAGCACGGAGCTCTCCTCCTGGCCGAGGCAAGGCTGCTGGCAAATGTCCTCTTCACCACATGGCTCCTGTGCAGGGCCTGCTGGGAGGTGCCCTCCAGGCCTGCCACAGCCTGGCACACGGGTGGCAGCTTGGCACGGCCTTGGAATAAGCTTCGCAGCTCCTCTCTGGTGTAGAAGAGAAAAGAGAAAAGGCTCAAGGGCTCTTGAGGAGCCCTTGCCCTGGGTGGTGGAAGAAAGTATTATGCCCCTGGCTTCCTGCTCTTATTTGCTCATGGTTCCTTCTGCCAGTGGAGACTTCTCTTAAGGAAGAGTGCCAGCTCCTCCCTCCGCCCCTCCCTCCCACCAACAAGCGCTCTGTCCTTCCTGACCACCAGCTTTGCCCTTCTGCAGCAATCCTACTAAACCGGTCAGTAGGGCACTGCCGTCTTTGTTGTCCCTAGAACCAGTCTAGTACACTGTAGGCCCTTACTGTACATCTCATGAGGGAATGAATGGTGCTGCAGGACTAATGCCAGAAAAATGCCCAGTCTTGTGCCAAGATGAGAGCTAAGACCTTCCCTTAGCATCCCTGCAATGGACAGGCTCTGACATGGCAAGGGCAGCCAGCTCCTTAATAAAGGTCTGCTCTGATCAACCCAAGCTGGTCTGGCCTCTTGTTTGGGCAAAAAAGGACAAAGCAAGCTAGAAGACCCTTTTTTCCCTAGGAGGAGTCAGACCCAGAGAAGGACTGGTGCCCCACTCCCCACCTCCCTTGAAGCACTCAGGCATCTTTCATCATTCCCCCAAAATCCACGTCTCACCCTCAGCCCCAGCCCTGAAGACATTTTATTCATCTTCCCCAGTGCCTGACCAAACTACTCGGGAAATAAGCACTCTCCAAGGAGCCCAGAGTGGGTTAAATGTGTAGCACACGCTCATTAACAAAGACTTGGCCACATAGACACTAAATGCAAAGTCTGGGCGGGATGCTGAAGGAGCACATAGGAAGTGAGGGCTCCCCTGTGGAGAAGCTGAGGCCACCCATGGACGGAGGTGTGAGTGCCCCCGCCCCACTGACCCAGAGAGACTGTTTCACAGCCGTAGCCCTGATCTCTATGGGTGGATTGCTGTAGCGGCGTGGTTGAATTGAAACCAGTTTTCAGTTTATCATGTGACCTTGGCCAAGTCACCTGTTCATTCCTAGGGGCCTCGGGCCCTCAAGAATAAAACAAAAGACTTTGGGGCAGAAACAATGATTCTGAAACTTAAGTGTACTTAAGAACCTTACTTCCAGAAAGCTCCCCAGCAATGCAAGTCCCTGGGGTCCACCCTAGTGGATCAAGGTGGGGTCCAGGAGTCAGAACGCCGAGCACGCACTCCTGGGGGACCTGGGGCTCTTGGCTACAGTGCCACATTCTCCTAAGAAGTGCTGTTTATTCTCTGGAATCACTAAGGTTTGGCTCTACAGGATCACATGTAATGCATTCCAGTGGGATTGACTCCCAAATGCACTGTGCTCTTCTGCGACTCCCATGGAGCTGAGACTTCATACACGGCTCACCTGGGAATGTCACCTGGTCTGTGAAGTTTTGGTTTTTTTTTAAGTTTTGCTTTATGCTTCCCTAACTCAGTGTCCCTCACTCAGACTGAGCCAAAGGATTTTAAAGCAGGAAGGAAATTTACAAGATGGGCATTGAGAGCTTTGTAAGAACCGGGCTCCTTAATAAGCTATCTGCTACCTTATATCACCCAAGCCTCATAGCAAACATCCAAGCTGGGGGTCATCATGCCCATTTCCCAGCTGATGAAACTGAGGCCCAAGTCATGTAGCTGGAAAGAGACAGAAGCAGAATTTGTACATTTGCTTGACTCCAATGTGATGCTATAGCTACTGAATCTTTTGTCTGTTCCAATTTTTATTTTATGCTGGAGGGAGTAAAAATAATCCAGAGGAAAGAGACTACCCAGACTACCCACAGTCGCTCAGGTGCCCTGGTACCTTGTTATCCTTTGTGAGCTTGCTAACCTTCCTTTTACCCACCCCTGCCTTGATTCCCGGCAGAAGCTGTGTTCCCAAGTCCTCCTAGATTTGGAGTTTCCAATTAACTGTGTCTATAGAAACCTGAGAACTTTTCCAAGGATCATGTAGACTCAAGTTGTACTACAGCTGTACTGCACTTTCTGTGTGACTAAAGGCAAGCTTATGTTGAGACCTCCACTTTCACATCTATAAAATGGGGCTAAGGTACAATTTTGCTTTGTAAGATATTTAAAAAGCACTGATGTTGAGGCCAGGCCCATAGAGGGCAGTCAGTAGACCTTCCTTCCTCACTCTTCCACCCTTCTGCCCACACAGGACACCCACCTCCTCTTCTTGTTTCCAAGTTTCACTCCTGCAGGTTTCTAGCACTGAACTTGGGAAGTATGCTAGGCTTACACACACAGGAAACAAGCATTTTCCATTAACTTTGAAGTGATAGCACGATCACTGCCTGCTCTTCTGGGACCAGAGGCCAGGGAACGTGCGAACTTTTTATAATGCTACAAAACGTGTCATTTCAGTTTTACAACCCCCTGAGTTCTAGGAGGTCCATAAAAGTTGTTCTAGTCACATCTCTCAGATACTTAATGAAAGGCAAAAGTCAAAATAAGAAGTCACAGATTTTTTAGCTTTTATGCCACCTCCCCAGACAACCGGCTTTTCTCCTCAGCTAGATTTGCTCTGGGCCCCGGCAAGACACCTCTACCGCTCCAGTTCAAGTCACAGTTCTTTACTCCACTATGGGGGATGGGGTCCCTGAACAGCCTCTATGTACCGACTGCTGTGGCTTAGAGGTCTCAGGAGGGGTGGAACTGCAGCAACCCAAATGGCCCCGCCCCATCCCCAGTTCTGGCCTGGCTCACCTCCTTGACTGCTGCAGGACCTGGGGGGCACCCAGGGCCGAGAGATTGGGCTTGGCTCTGTGCAGCCAGCCGGTGAGGTCATAGCGTACAGGGTCCTGTCCGAGCTGGTGGAAAATCTCGCACTGGAGGGGCTGCTCACAGGTCCGCAGAGCAGAGGTCCCTGAAAGCACACACAGTGGCATGAACGGTGGAGACTCTCAGCAATCAGCTGGCGTCCCCAAGAACAGTCTCCATTTTCATGTCTTTCCAGGTAGCTAAAGCTATGGGGGTGTGGGGTCGCTCAGCTATGGTAGCTAAAGCTACCAGTTCAAGATGCCTACATTTCTCTTGCAATAGTGAATTGAACACATTATTTCCAAAGTGAGTTTTATTCCTCCTTGCTTTCTGAAACCCAGGATACCTGACCCAAGCATTATTACTACACACACTCTTCATGAGTTTTGTTATGTGTATCCATGTATCACCTAGGCTATGATTTACTTAATGTTTTTTAAGTCAATATTTTCATAAGTACATTCATTTAAAAGGTACCATGCTATTGCAGGTTTGATATACAAGCTAGATTTATTTTCTAATATGTATGGAAATAAATAGTTATTAAATATTTTTGAAATATTGACTCATACACCACCTAAAATTGTCTTGAATATTATCAACCACATAAAAGTACAGCACACTCTTAGGAGGTGCTGCCACACACTTGATTGCAAGACTCAGGGTGAGAAGAACAAATGGGCCTGTGCTTCTAGGTAGAGAAAATCTAGTTCCTTGCCATTTATCGTGCTGTTCAAGTGGCCAAGCTATTTAAGTTGCTGAGCCTCAGCTTCCTCCTTTGTAAAAAGGAGATTAAATAATACAAACTTCCCATGGTAGCATAAGGTTCCTTTAGGATAATGTGTGTAACATACTTTCATATGCTGTCTGGCACACAGTATGCACTCAGCAGTAGTGACTGTCATGGTTATTGACTGCATTTAACTTTATAGTGATACTCTGAAATAACACAGCGTTGGGCCAGGGATGCAGCTCAATGGCACAAGTGTCTGCCTGAAATAACACAGTGTTTACCTCCATATCCCTAATGCCAGCATCACGCCTAGCACATGCAGAGTCTAGAAGTGCGTGTGGAATGAATGAATGAATGGATGAATGAATGAGCGAACGAACTGCTGGTTATTAATTATATTGCTCTAACCATCATGATGCTCCCAGGTTACTTTTCCACATTTGGCAGAGTTGTCCTCTCCGTAAACCACCCCAGACTGATTATTAGTAGGAAGGTGGTACTGAATGATTCCTGTACCTCTTCTGCATGACCTTCCTTAGTTTTCTTCCCTGCTACTGTCAATGTACCCACATGCATCAGGGTCTTGAGTCTTCCCCTGAAGACCTAATCTGCTACCTCTAAATTGTAACGATCTTAGAAACCAGGAACCTGCCTTTCTTGGAACTCCTTGTAAAATACACCCAGTCAGTGAACCTGCAGGCTTCCATGAGGAAAAGGCATGGATTCTGCCACCGGTCTGGCTGCACAGAGGCCCTTTGTGCCCACTGCCTGGGTCACCTTTAAGTTCTAGATAGCAGAAGTTGTCATCAAGGTACATTTCCAGTTAAGCGAAATGCCGCTGCATCAAGAGCCTCCTGTGAGCCCTTCAGGGCTGTGTTGTTTCTGGCCTCATAGGAGTCACCTTCCAATAGGAAACAATAGAATCCCATAAGAAGCAAGGAAGCAAGGTGCACACCAGGCTCTGGCACATATGGTGTCACTGTCCCTGCACAGGTATCTATTTATGAGGCTGCCATCCCTCCAGCAGGTTGGAAGCAACTTGAGAGCAAGAAGTGGGGTTCATCTGTCATAAAGCTTCTCAACTAGCACAGAGCTGGGCTCTAAGTAGGATCTTTCTGTGGAAAGGGGGAATACAGAAAAAAAAAAAAAAAAGATGTTCATGTTTGCTAAGCCCCAGGCAGGATGCCCACTCCGCTGGAAGTCTAACTCAAGGGATATCACTCCGCCTTCATGCTGGCCAGTGATACGACCATCCCTGGTCTGGTTTCTAGAAGATGACACTGAACTTCAGAAAAATGAGGCAAGGCTGGGCGCAGTGGCGCATGCCTGGAATCCCAGCCCTTCAGGGGCTGAGATAGGAGGATTTCCATGAGTTTGAGGCCATCCTGGACTACATAGCAAGACCCTGCCTCAAAATTTAAAAAGAAAGAAAGATGAGGCAACTCTGCTAAAGATGCAGAACTCATCAAAATGGGACCAGGCTACAGATACGAGTCAGCAGGCATTAAAGCTTGCCTCTGCCTAGAGTGGTGGCCAAGTCCAGGCGGTACCACATTTCTTAGGAACTGTGTTGGGAATCATGTTGCAGGGTCTAGGGCTGCTCATTCCTCTCATTCATTTCTTTCTCCTGGAGTTGGTTTTCACACCACAATTTTATCCATCAAAGCATTTTGCAGGAAGCCTTAGGTTTTTAGGACACACATGAAGACTTCCAGAAGATAGATACTTATCTAGCACAGTTTCAGCCTCTGTGCCTCACCCAGGAGCCTGAACCCCTCAGTCAAGTCACCCACGGCCCCAGCAGGTCACCTCTGCAGTTTTGAATGCTAATCATTGGCTTTCTCTGGGCCTAGGGTGCTGGCAGCTCCCTAATGAGCTCACTTGCCAATATGAGGACGCTCAGTAAACGTACATTAGGCGAGGCTAAGGGGCAGAAAGAGCAAGCCCTGATTAGCCAGAACGCCCTAAGCGTCCTGGTTGATTGAATGTTCTCATTAACTCAGAGCTAATCCTCAAGCTTTAGAGGGAAAGAACCTTTTTAAACAAAATATCTGAGTTAATATGACTGCCTTAGTTTGAGACAAAGAAGGTAACAGAATCTCTTCCTGGGAACTGAGAGTCTTATAGCGTCCTTCTTGGGGTGCTTCATGGAAGAAGGAGAGGAGGCCACAAATGTAGCTGAGTCCCTTTCTGCCCCAGCCACACCATCCAAGATGCCTTCTGTTGCCAACCTGCTTTCTGCCTCTTTTGCATAAGTTAGAATTCAGACAACATTCCATTTGAGAATTCCACTTCATTTGGAACTCTTCTATGTTAAGTATTCTTTGTGCACCTTATCCTGCTACGGGTGTTCTAGGTGCTGCATGGCAGAGGTCACCAGCCCAGCCTGTCCTCATGGAGCTGTCATTCCTCTAAAGGAATACAGCTGGTGAGCAAGTGTGGGATGCCCAATGGTTACCACTTCAACAGAGAAGAGGAAAGCAGGGGAGGGAGATAAGGGTGCAGATGAGGGGGGTTATTTATTATTTTGTGCAAGGTGGCCAGAAAGGCCCCAAGACTAGAAGAAGATAAGAAAGCCCATCATGCTAGAATGTGGTGGAAGAGTATTGTAGGTGGAAAAGAATGCCAGTATGTGATCCTCGAAGTAGCAATAGGATTTGCATGTTAGATGAGCTACAGAGACAGTGCAATTATATATCAGCCCATCTTTCATTACTATAACAAAACACTGGAGGTAGACTCCTTTATAAAGAAAAGAGGTTTGCTCACAGATTTGAAGTCCAGAAGTCCAACAGCATGCTGCAGATTCTTGTGAGGTCCCTCCTGGCTGCGTCCCATCATGGTGGGAGTATATCTGTATAGCCTCCCTCTCTCCTCTTATAAAGTCACCGGGATTCCATCATGGAGACCCCAGCCTAATGATCTAAACTACTCTGACATTTTCAGAGGACCCATTTCTAAACACCACTCGGATTAAGTTTCAACCTTTAAATACCATGAACATAAGATTTGGGGGATTAAATTCTTATGTGAATTTGAAGGGGAGACCTCGTCAACTACATTCATCTTCTTAGGCTGTCAAAAGCCAGGTCACCTCAAGGGGGACTGCCCTAAGAAGCCCCCTGGGCCATACCCTGACCGTAAAGGTGACCACTAGAGGTCGGACTGCCCTCTGAAGCGAAGGCCCCAGAGCTCGGACCCCTCCTATCAGCCGGTCCAACAGGAACGAAGGGGCCCAGGGCATACTCTGCCTTCTCCCTCTGGTCAAACCGTTATCTTCAAGGAGGAGCCCCACATAATCATGACTATAGAGGAAAAATTAAACAGCCTATTGCTGGACACTGGCACTCGTCTCTCGGTCTTTCTTTTCAATCCTGGCCTTCCTTCCAGCCATCACACCTCAGTGAAAGGAGTCACTGATGAGAAGTAATCCGTTATTTTTCACAACCCTTAGGCTGTAACTACGTGTTAGATCTTTCTTGCACATCTTTGTTTTCCTGAGAAACCACTTTGAAGATACCAACATGTATTACAGCAGCCATTAATAATTTCCTACCAATCTGTCCATAACTCTGTAAAGTTTCTATTGTTCCTATGCTATTTTGTAAATGGATGCATGTTTATTACTATGTGTTTTCAATAAAAAAAAAAAGAATTTGAAGGGGACAAATTATATTCAAACCACAGTAGACTTGAACACAGCAAGCAAGCAGAGGGGACGGAAAGAAGGCAGATATCCCCTGAAGGCTTGCTATGTTGTGGACACAGATGTGGGCCAGATAGAAATGTGCCCTGCCCTTGGTGAGCTCACAAGGTAATGAGGGAGAATGATGACAAACAAGCAAGGCAAATAACTGGAATATTCCAGAGCCTGCAAAGAGTTCTGAAGGATATAAACAAGGAGTTGAAATGGGGTGAGGGGCTGCCCATGAGTTAGCTTCAGACAAGGAGGGAGAAGGTCTCTGGGGGTAACTCTGTGCAGGATTGGGAGGAAGGTGTCTGTAATGGTTGATACATTGTGTCAACTTGAGAAGTGTAGAAGCTTAACTAAGTAACTCTGCAGTTCTACATTCTAGGGTGTAAAGGACGTGCCCTTAGACCTCTAGGATTTTATTCATTGTGTCAACTTGAGAAATTTAGAAGTTTAACTATGTGACTCAGCAGAGGGCCAGGGTCCTTACTTTGTAAACATCCTGAGCCTGTGCAAGAGGACATGGTGTGAGTGCTATACTCTCCTGAGGAAGAGGGAGTAGCCTGCTTACAGTATAAGGGAAGAAAAGCAGCTTGCTCATCCCCTCTTTTGCTCTTGCTGCTTTTGCTGTCTTCTGCTCCTTGAACTGTTGTCCCTGTTCCCTGACACCCTGCCTTGGAGTCAGCTGATTATTGACTTAAACCTCTATGAACTGTGAGCTAAATAAACCTTTCCCTCTTTAACTTTGGGTGTCTGGTATTTTGTCTCAGTAAAGAGAGAAAAGTAACTAAGATTGTGCCTACATGGTCTTTGCACCCCTCAGTTCATTGGTCCTTATAGCAGCTCCAGAGGTAATTTTTCTGATTGCCATTTTACAGAGCAAAGGGGACTCCCCAGAAGTCACTCATGTTGCAGTTCAGCAGTGGATTGGGGACCTGGCCCAGACGGACCAAAATCTGGGCTTTTCACAGGACCACCTCCAGATTTCTTTGGAATCTGAATGAGGCTCCTCCTCTGTTCCCCATCCTTAAGCCCATCAAATGCAGAGCCAACAGCCACTTTTGCAACTTGGAGAGAGGAGGGGTAGTGGGCCTGCCCAGCCTTTGGGGCAAGACCAACTATGGGGCTCTTGGAAGCTGCTTGGTCCCTGAAAGGCCCTGGAAATCTTCCTCAGTGGGTCACAGTGTCTCATCCAGACAAAGGCTTCAACAATAGACCACCCTATATCCATCCCACTTTGTCAGCTGGCAATGGGGCAGATACACTTCAGATCCCAGAGCCTAGGAGGAGGGAATTTAGTCACCACCAGGGTCATGTCCAATGCCGGGACTCCATACCCTGAAGGGTCCAGGACCACAGTGTGGCTTTTCTGGGCAGTGGACATCTAAGCTTCCATGGGCCTCTTCTTCCATAAAGTCAGTGCACATGTGTTTGTGTTGAGTGAAAGTTGTATGTCTGTAAATTCTATTGTGCAGCTGCATTGGTACAAGGACAAATATTATTTATATTACTGATATATAAGTATACACACACGTATTTGACCCACATTTTTTCTTAAGCTTTTTAACAGAAGTTAACACATTTTTGTGAGCCTCCCAAACCATGGACCCCAGGCACTGTGCCTCACACCACATGTCAGAAAAGTCAGCTCCGGGCCTGTCACATGCACAGTCAAGCTCTCTAGGAGCAATTTGGGTACCAGTGCCCTGAGCTTGCTGCTGGAGCTATCTAATGCTATGACTGCTGCTACTTAGAACACCCTGTCTTGATGTGGACACAGGAATCTACTATGAATGTCCCACAGAGGTCTTGGCTGGTCACCATTGGCTGGTCACCAAAAGATGGTCACCACAGAACATTCACCATAGATTGGTCAACATAAGATGATTACCATAGCATGGAGTGTCACCACAGAATAGGATAGGCACCACAGAATGCCACCATAAAACTGTCCCCATAGAACAGTCATCATATAGACTGAGCACCATAGGCTAGTCACCAAAAGATGGTCACCACAAAATGGTCACCATAAGAATGTCACCATGGAATGGATGTCATAGGAATACCAGTATGGAATGGCCACAAGAGGTAGTCAAGCTGATCACCATAGCATTGTCACTGTAGGACAGTCATCATAGGTTGGCCAACACAGAATAGTTACTATAGGTTGATCACCACAGAATGGTCCCCATACTGCAGTCACCATGGGCTAGTGACCATATGATAACATAGTCACCCAGGCTGGTCCCCACAGGCTGGCTACCATAGGATAACCACCAGAGGCTGGCCACCATGGAATGGCCACCACAGGATGGTGGCCAAGGACTGGTCATCATAGGATGATTACCATGAATGGTTGATCACCATAGGCTGGGTAACTCTACTGGCACTACCTCACTAGGCAGCAGATCTTTTCCCAGTTTCTCATAAACCACTCCAGCTGGGGGTATTCATCCCAAATACACCATCAAGATTGTACTTACCTAGGTCACCAATGATGCCTACACATCAAATCAACAATGATGCCTCAGCCCACACCTCCAGGACCCTCTGCAGCACCGACTATAGTACATCCCTCCCCCTGTGGCTTGCAGAATGCCCTGTCCCACTGGCCTCCCTCCTCCCTCCTGGCCCTTCTTTCTTAAGCTCCTGCCTTGGCCCTGACTCCCTGACACTGAAATGTCCCAGGGTTGAGTCCTTGGACATCTTCTTTGTTGCCCTCAGTGGCCTCAACCAAAATTAAGGTCCTCAGTCTCCTTCATACAGACTGAGCTGCCTAGATACCAATCTCCTTTTCTACCCCACCCATCCCATGGAGGTGAGTTGTTTGTTTTGATCAATGATGTATCTCCCAGGCAAGGACAGTGGCTGCTCACAATAGGTGCTCCATAAATATTTGCTGAATAATCCCATGAATGAGTGAGCCCACATTTGTCCTGGTACCCAAAGCTATCTGGGACTGATAAGGTCTGAAAGCATATTTACCTTCCTTAATGCCTGGTGGTGCGGGAATCACAAAAGTTAATCCAGACAAGCCTGGTCTGGGATCTGCCTTCTAACACTCCTCCTCTGGCCTGACCTTGGACAAGCATCTCTACCTCTCCGGAGATGTTTCCTCATCTTGGCAACAAGAATATCTACCTCGAGACCTGCAAAAGAATCCTACCTGACCACGCAGCTAAAGCTCTGAGCATGCCACCCTACATGGAGTGTGTACAGCATTCCTTTAACTCCTCGTATGACAGAGGAATACTCCTCGTCACATTTAACACCCTGTCCTCCCCAGTAACCTTGCAGCAGCCTATAGCTGATGACAGAGCTCTACACACATGTGACTCCCTCCATCACTGTAGGAGAAATTCTGCAGAAAGAGGAGCTAGGGTGACTCCCTTCCTCATTTTAAAAACATATCAACTAAGACTGTTCAGCATCACACAGGAAAAGGAAGGAACACTGGACTTGAACTTGGGCTGACAGATGTCAAATCCCATGATCTCACTGTTCCAGCTCAATGCCTCAATCTGCTTTCGTTTCCCCTACCCATCACCAAATGCCATGCATGGACTTCACCTGTCAAACTCCTCCAGACTCTGCGCACCTCCCTGGGGCAGGCCATCCTCTCCTGCACTGATCAGCTGCCTTCCCATCATGCCTTCACTGTGCAGCCTGGGTCAGCTCCCCAGACCACTAATCTGACTGTGCTTCCCACTGCCTAACATCCTTCCTGGCTTCTCACTGCTCTAGGGCAACGGTGATAAAACTATGGCATGTGTGCTGCAGTGGGTTGTTTGTATCATTGAGAGATCTGAATGGTCTGCTATAGGGTTAAGAGCAAAGTTTGTGCATATCCCACAAGGGTTCCTGCCATCAGAGCCCAAATGACATCTCCACCATGTTTTACATTGTGTTCCCTTGCTTGCTGTTGGATGTATATGCGTGTGTGTCCCCTGAGTTACCGGAGGAATCAGATCTGCCCAATGCAACGCTTCAGAGCCCAACCTCTGCCTAACAGCACTTACAAGTGCTTACCTGAGAGCCTGACCACTGTCTTTTCCACACAAGGATAGGTACCATATCAGGCCAGAACAGGGCTATATAGAACAGGACCCAGTCCACTGTAGCTGCTAATGTGTTTGTTACATATATAAATGAATAAACGCATGAATGAAAGCATATGCAGTCTCTGTGCAGCCCTTCTTAGGACCTTTCCTATCTTTCATGGACAGATTCCAGCACCCAAGCTGGACTCAGCCCCCTCCCCCATACCCTTGCTCCCTTACCTTTGGCCCCAGCTCCCTTCTTCTCAAAGGCTGCACGTAGACGCTCAAGCACCATGCTGTCATGGGAACCCTCTATCTGGACCTCCTCATCCAAGACCCAGAAAAGGCCCCTGGCATCCTCAGTACCTCCTCCAGCCGGTAAGTGGACCTGGTGGAAGACCCAGGACACATTAAGGGGCCCTGATACCAACAGAAGCCAGCTGTGGGCTTTCTTCACACCAGCTGGAAATGAGGCAGGAGCCAAGCACTAGCCATCAGCCTAGATCTAGGTTCCCGCTCACCCCAACCCCTTCAAGGTTGAAGCCACAAAATTATAGCAACCTCTCTGCTGTAAGGGGGTCTGAGTCCTACTTCTGTCTTTAATTCCTGTGTGGCCTTGGGCAACTTACTTTATCTCTCTGGGCCTCATTTCCTTCTATGCAACATGGATAGTGGAAATACCTTCCTCAGAGGGCTGTACTAAGGATTTAGTGAGGGGAAATCTTCTGTAAATTGTCTCTTTCTAGATACACACAGATAGTTGGTCTATTTGTGTATTGCCAAATGGCAAGGGATTGATTCCCTCCTCATCCTATTTTCTTAGAACTCTTTGTATTTTTCCAAATTAAAATCTTGGAGAATGAATTTAAAAATAAAACCAGCACTCAAAGAATATTTTTGGAAGAGAAAGTGAACTTGATTCAATAGCACAGACATGGAATTTTAAATCTATGCACTATCTTCAGCAACCACCCAAGTAACTCTATAATTTTGCTTATGGGAAACTGAAAGCCCTGGGGAGTTTCAAGGGCTTATCCAAGGACCCACAAGGAATGGCTCAACCAAAAAGAATACTGAGTTGTTATGGAGGAAATGGGATGTGGACAATGACCAACCATTCCAGTGTTCCCTGGGACCCAGGTCTGCCCATATGTGCAGCTTTCAGAGCTAAGGATGGGAGAGTCCCGTTCACACCAGGACAGTTGCTCACCTAGTTGGGAATATGGTCCATACCCCTCAGGGTTCCAGAGAAGGAAAGGGACACATCTACGGTTACACAGTGAGTCCAGAAGCAGAACTACAACTGGACCCCAGGTAGCCCAGGCCTGTACCTTGGCTTTCTATGTTAGGGCTGAGACAGACAGCTGGGCAAAGTAGCCACTTGAAACCACAGCCCGGTGGCCTTGAAGCCTACACCATCCTTCCCAGCTAACTGTATTGAGTGTCTCTTTGGACCTGACCCTTCCAAGGCCAGGCACAGGTGAAGAAGTGGACAGGAGGAAGATGAGCCAGAGAGCTGCTGACAAGAAGCACAAACATGGCAGGCACAGGGGCTTGCAAAGGAGGGGGCTTTGCAAGAACAAAGCAGCTCACTGTGTGTCAAGAGGAGGCTTGGAGACCAACTCTGGTCAGTGAGACAAGGAATGAGAAAGGTGACCTGCTGTGTCCAGTGGCAAAGGAAGGCCAATTGTGGAATATGACTGTGTGCCACAGTCCATGCCAGGAGCTATGTGAGCAGTGTCTCATTGACAGGCACCACCCAGGGAAAAGATCACTCCCATTTTGGAGATGAGAAAATGGAGGCTCAGAGAGGCCAAGCAATGTGCCTGAGGTCATCAAAAGTGGACTCCACAGCCCAAGCACTTTCACACCAAAATGCAAAGGGCAAATAAAAAATAGAAGTGAAAGGAAAGGGCCAAGTGTCTATGACAAGGTTAATCCAAGGTCAGTAAGTGGATTCTAGGGATGGGAAGAGTGAGGTAAAGACTCGGGCATCCCACAAAATATAAAGCCCATCTGTCCTCAAGAGCTACCCCTTCCTAAGCCCTCCACTGCCCAGCCTTCCTGTCTGCCAAGCCAGCATCTTTATCTGAAGGTGCCTACACTTCCCAGGTCAAAATAGCTGGAGGACCCTGAGAGTCCTCAGTTCAGACCACAGGCCCCCAGTCTGCTTCCTAAAACTGACTCAGACATAAAGCTGAGCAGTGGCTCTCACCCTAAGTCCATTTCTATCCCAAACCAATCAACACAGGACCCAGGAAGAGGGGAGGCATCCCAGGTGTGCATCTCTAACAAATGCTGGGGGATTCCAGGCAGTGCGGGCAGGGTAAAGACTTCCGTAGCTTAAAGACTCACATCTTCCAATATCTTACTGAAAATATCACATCTGGGAACCTTGGTTCCCTAGGTCCCTTGTTACCTGGGAGGGATTCTGATCCATAACTGCCACCGTGGTCCCTGGGGAAGACTCTGGGAGGTCACAGGGCACAGGAATGCCTTCCTAAAAAAAAAATCACAGGACGTAAAAGTTAGCTCCTTCAGTGAGCTGAGTCAGGCAGAAAACTTCTCAGGAAGAAAAAGAAATAAGGACTTTCATTATTACTGTGATGGTTAACCTTGATTTTCAACTTGACTGGCCTGAGAGACACCTAGGAGATTAGAGAAGAACACTTCTGGCTGTGTCTGGGTGGGTCATGAGGGCATGACCCTGGAGACTATATCTGCCCCTGGCCCCTTCCTCCTAACCTCTTCCCCATTTCCCCATTTCCTGTCTGCAATGAGGTGAGCAGCTTTCCTCCGCCGTGATGTTTCCACCTTGGATCCAGTCAATTATGGACAGATACCTCTGAAAACATAAGCCAAATAAATCTCTCCCCATTTAAGTTGCAAGTGTCGGGTATTTTGTTCCAGCAAGGGTAAAGCTGACTAATACAACTTTTCAACCTTTCTCTTAAAAAACATTTTTTAAATTTGTAGTGAAAAATGAATGCATAAATAAATAAATTTGTAGTGTAACAAGTGTAACATTAATTTTGCCACTTTAATCATTTCTAAAGGTATGTATTGGTGATATTAAGTGCATGTACAGTACATGAAATCTTCACCACCTGCCACCTGCACAGCTTTTTAAAAATGGAAATGTATTAATTGTACATATTAATGAGGTTCAGTGTGATACTGCAGCACATGCATACAGTGTGCACTGAGCTTTTCATGTTGTGAAATCAAAACTCTACCCATTAAACAATTCCTTCATTCTTCCCTCACAACATCCCAATCCCAGTAACTAGTTTAGTTTCTGTCTCTGTGAATTTGACTGCGCTAAGTATCTCATAGATACCGTATTTACCCTTTGGTGACTGGCTTACATCATCCAAGCTTCTTCCACGTTGTAGGTGTCAGAACTGCCTTTTGGAAGACTGAATAATACCTCACCAAATGTACATACTACATTTATGTTATGTGGTTTTCTGCTGATGGAGATGTGGATTACATTCACCTTTCAGCTATTGAGAATAGTGTTGCTAGGAACTGGGGTGTGCAAATATCTCTTCAAGACCTCACTTTCAGCTCTTTGGGGTATATATGCAGAACTAGAATTGCTAGATCATTAGTAATTCTATTTTTAACTCTGAAGAACTGCCCTACTGTTACATGTAGTGGCTTCACTGGTTTCCATTCTCAACAATTATGGGCAGGGCTTCCAATTATCCCATGTCTTCAACACTTGAGGCTTTCGGGACGTGTGTGTGTGTTTTGTTGTGACAGTAGCCATCCTAATGGGTATGAGGTGGTGTCTCCCTGCGGCTCTGATTTGCATTTCCTTTGTGATTAGTGATGTCAAGCATCTTTCCATGTATTTAGTGACCATTTGCATGTATCTTTTGGAGAAATCTCTACATGCATCAATTGCCACTTTGACATTATTTTGTTTTCATTACCTCTTAGCCTTTATGTGAGCATAAGTATGGTAGATCAACATTCCAGTACTTCCTGATATTGCTCATCATGCCCGGTGTTATGGTTTGTGTCTAAATGTTCCCCACAAAACCTCATGCAATCATAGGTGGGGCTTTTTCAGAGGTGGCTGGATCTAGAGTGTGTGATGCTGGGACTGATTCATGGTACAATGCTAGGCTCGAGGGCACTAGGATTAAGGATGTGAGTGCTACCCACCCTAAGTAGCCTGGATAAGATAAAAGGAGCAGAAAGACACTGTTAAGTTCCCTTACTTGCTTGCTTTTGCTGTCTTCTGCTTACCATGAACTGGTTCTCCTCTGTAATCCCCTTCTCCCTAACCACCCAACCTTGGAACCAGGTGATTATGGACCGAAACCTCTACAAACTGTGGTATAAATAAACCCTTTCCTCTTTAACTTTGGGTGTTGGGTATTTTGTCTCAGCAACAAGAGGAAAGTAACTAAGACACAGGGTCATCGGCAATCATGCAAGAGCTTCATCAGAAACTAGTAATTCAGGGCCAAGGATATAGCTCAGTGGCATAAGCACCTGCCTGGCAAGTGCAAGTCCTGAGTTCGATTCCCTGTACCAAAAAAAAAAAAAAGTTAAGAAACTAGTAATTCAGGGGAGGGGACAAAAAGGGAGGAGGAGTAATTGGGAGGATATGATCACAGTATGTCATACACACGTATGAAAATTCACAACAAAACTCCTCATTCTGTAAAATTAATATGTACTAATTAAAAAGAAAACTGATAATTCAGTACAAACCTTTTAAATATTTGCAAAGCACCTAATAAATCCTAGGCTGAGTGCCCCATGCTGGAAGAAGCAAGCAGAAATATGGGTAATAACAGCTGCCATTAAATGTAACAAGAAATACCTGACAGTGCTGTGTTTCTTAGATGTTCATCACAATGTTGTTTGTATCTTAAACTCGAAAATCACCCAGAGGTCAGAAAAAGAGCTGATAACCACTGAAATGCACGTTTGCTACAATTCGTAAATGGAGCAGAGAAATATAATTTAAGGCCATGAGAAAAGCAGCAGACAACGAAATCCTGTGTACAGAGGATAGGAAATCCATACAAAGGACAAAATACGGAAACATGATTGCTGTGAAGTCCTGAGAGCAGTAACAATGGTTGCCTCCAGGTAGCGAGGCTGAAGGAAACTTTTTCTTTTTATTTATACGAACTTTCTAGCTTTCAGTAAAAACATCCTGCATTATTTTGATACTAAGAAATAAGTGAAACATTATAGGAAAACTGCTACTTTATATTGAATCCTAACATTGACCAGGTACTCTCTGTCCTACTTCATTAAATGCTCAAAACAGCTACTTATAGGAATGTGGTAATAATTTTTCTAAAAGCAGCTTCGCTCTCTGCATCAGATCCCTGTGCCAATGTTCCTTGCAGACTGACATTGCAGCTTTTCTGTTAAGAAGTGGAGCCAGTTTCCTTCCTCCCTCAGTCGGGGCTCAGCCTTGGACTTACGCTGCCCAGTCAGAGTCTGCAGAAGTGACCCCGTGGCAGCTCCAAGTCAAGGCCTCAAGGTGCTCTGCACACTTCTGCTGATAGTCCTGGAACTCCCTCCAGCACCACGAGACTCACCTGGGCTGGCTTGCTGGAGGCTGAGGCATCAGGGAGCGTGGACAGGCTCTAAAATCATATCCAGAGGACCTCCAGATACATGAAACAGCCCAGCAGGGTCACCAGAGCCACCTTCCCAACTTACACCTGACCCCAGACTCAGGAGCCGACCCAGCCAAGACCAGAAGAGCTGCCTAGACTGCCCAGAGACTTGTGAGCAACAATAAAAAAGCTTTTTAAAGCCACCGTATTTGGGGGTAGCTTATGGAAAATGGTAACTAATACAGAAGTATTATCTCTATTTTCCATGTAAAGAAATGAATGGTCAGAGAGAGGGAGTGACTTTCCTAACGCCACACAGGCCAATAAGTAAAAGGTAGGATCAGATGCCACTAACATCATTTGCTACAGATTTATCCATGACATTGATTTCATTTTGACTGCTACCTGGGCTCCAGCCAGAGAAATAACCATAATTTCAATATTCATTTTCTTGTGGAAGAATGATAATATGGGTATTTCTAATACATATTTTTCCATTAACATCTACTTGAGTCAAAGTGGTCACCTTCAAAAATGGAGGAGATATGGGTTTGGGGACCCAGGGTCCTACCAACGTCCTCACTGTCACCTGGCTGATGGGTGTATGCAAATGTTCATTTGGATAAATTCACTGAGCTGCACACTTGCAGCTTATATACTTTTCTGTGTGGTTATGACTTGAATGTGTCCACTCCAAAGCAGAGGTGTGGAATCTGCATGGCCAAAAAGCCCGTGTAATGATATTAAGAGGTGCAGCCTTCCCAAGGCGATTAGGTCACGAGGGCTTAAGGCCCTTAGAAAAGAGGATTCCTTCCGCATTTGGCTCTCTTGCCCTCCACTCTCCAGGACATTTTCTTCTAGGGGCAGCCCTGAGGTGCCGTCCTCAAAACAGAGAGCAGCCTCACCAGACACCACACCTGCCTGCACCTTGACCTTGGACTTTCAAGCCTCCAGAAGTGTCTGTTCTTTATACAGTAGCTGGTCGCAGGTATTTTGGTAAAGGCAGCACAAATCAGGCTAGGACGTGTATAAATGCTTGAACAATTTTCTAAACAAGGGAAGGGTTGAAAGAAGCACATTTGTACAGGTACCTGAATGTGTTCCTGTCTCCCATGCGTGCCCTTTCTGTAAAGTGCCCCAAGAAATGGACAGCTGGATCACAGGGCACGTGTGCCTTCAGCCACGGAGATTGCCACCTTGTGCTCCACGTGGGACTGTGGGCTGCTGTCTGCACCCAACCACAGGGCCTTCTGCACTAGGGAGAACGCAGAGAGGCTCTGAGCCTGGGTGTGGTGGGAGACGAGGGCTGGGTCATCCCAAAAAGGGGACAGCTTGAGAACAAAGGTTGGGGAAGTCCCAGACCCTGGGCACCCTGGGCTGGAGAGGCAGGAGGCAGTGGGTGGAGACCGGTCTGTGATCAAAAATGGAGCAACAGAAGGCTGCAAAGCCACAGATGAAATGGGACTGCTCTGTGATGATCTGCACAGGGGACATCGTGGGATGCTGAGGGTGAGCTCACCATCTCTGCCTCCAAACCCCGGTGAAGGTCCAACTCCAGCCTGCCCTTACCTCTTTGTATCGCTCTAGCACCGAGACGAAGGTCCGCTGATAGAAAAGCAGCTGCAGACGCTCGTGAACATAATTATGGCACAGCTCCTCGAAGGTGGCTGCTCGGTCCTTGCCCTGATGCCGGGGATTCTGAAAGCCTGGAGAATCTACAACCATGATGGAGGCCATGGAGAGATGCTGAGAGGAGAAGGATCTAGAGAAAAGAGAGAGAGGCCCCAACATGACATGGAATCCGAGAGCCCTTTGGATCAAGAATCCTTTTCCATGGCAGAGCTGGACAAACTCAAGCAGCATGCCAGGGGGTTTGGAGATCCAGTAGATCTGGTTTCAAAACCAAGCTCACTGCTTAGAAGCTGTGTGACCTTGGGCAAGTTACTTTACCTCTCTGAGCATGGGTTTCCCCAGCTGATAAACAATGACAGGAGTGAGTAGGCTGATCTCACAGGCTGCAGTAAGTACCAAAGGAGTTAAAAGTATAGAAAGTGCCTCTCATGACACATGGACACAGACAGTGTTCAGGAAATGTGATTTCTTTAGCAGGTGCAGAGAAGAGAAGAAATGATCAGCCAATGGTAGCCTGGAAAACTGGCTCCAAAGTTACAGCTAGCATTTCCTTTGCTTCCTCCAGTGGCACATGGAAGCAGGAAAATCATTTTGTTCAGGGTATCCATTTACAAAGTTCTTCCAAGCTATCACTTCCTAGAATTCTCCTGATGAGTCTGTCTGGGTGGACAGACCAGGGTCTATTCCCATGACAATGCACAAGTTAGAGACTTGGGTGTCAGTTACATGTGGGTTTCACCCCTCTCTCTGCAATGGGTTGTGTGTCTCTGGAGAGTTTCCCAACCTCTCTGAGCCTCAGCCATGAAAATGTTAATGATGAATAGGTCTGGGGGCAAAAGTCTGTAATCCCAGCTCTCTTAGAGATCCAGGCAGGAAGACTACAAAGTTCATGGCCAGCAGCAGCATGGGCAACTTAGCAAGTTAGTGACCTTGTCTCAAAGAACATTTTAAAAATGTTTAGAGATGTAGCTCAGTGAGAAGGCTCTGACTTCAATCCTCCTACTAAAAAAATTATTAATGATGGAGACCAGCTACAAGGGCTCCTGGGAGGACACTGGATAACTCATCTACCATTGTAAGCATGAAGGCTGCCATGTGGTCAGTGCTCAGAAAATGTCATCTGCATTATCATCATTAGCATGATCAGCTCACAGCTTGGAGAAGGCTTGGTGTGAACCTTGGTTCTCTGTTTTCTCTGCTGAGGCTTCCCATTTAATAAAGTGTGTGAAGATGGAGATGACACAGCTAACCTGGAGAAGGCAAGTACTTACTAGAGATTAAAATGAGAGTTTGTTATTGACAAGTCCATTTCACAGATGTGGCCCCTGAGAATCCAAGTTATAGAGCGGTTACCCTTGCAGACTAACAGGGGCTCTAGTAGCTGAGTTCATCTTCCACCTCTGCACCCCTCCAAGCACCCTCTCTGCTTCTGGATGCACCTGCCATCTCTGATGGCAATTACTCACCAGCAACAGACCAACAGGTCAATACCAGGTCCATACCAACTTGGAGACCCTGGCTTTCTATGGCTGTGGGCCAGCCTCATCCTTTAACAGGATTTCAGAGCCTAATTATGCTTCCTGCTCTCCCAGAGGAGGGAGCAAAGCCCTTGTCTATGTTCTCCAGTAACCCCACTGGAACCACTTAAAAGGTTTCCAAAGATGCACTCAGAAGATGCAAAATGAGGCCCCAGGTGCCCACAGCCCAGCAGGGGCACCTTGTAGACACAGTCACCCCAAAATTATATCCTGGCTGCTCCCTGTTCCCAGCAAGAAAAATGAGACAAATGAACAATATGAACAATCAGGGGGATTATTGTGGGAGACTCAAGGCATGAGGTGAGGGTGCAGCCTCCACGCCTCATCTCATCTGTTCAATGAGCTCAGGTTAGACTACAGGATATGAGGCAAATTAAACCATCAGAGTTGTCCCCAACCTTTACTGGGCACTTAAAAATTATCAGGCTTTATTATAAATATTTTTACTATCACTATTAGAAAGTCACTTTGATTCATATTTTTTTTAATCCTCACCTCTACCCTGGAGAATAGAGCTATTTTATAGGTGCATAAAGGAAGATCAGGGAGCTGAAAGGACGTACTCAGGTCACACAGCCAGTGTGAGTGGGCAGCCACGGTGGAATTTAAACCCAGAACTGCCCATTGATGATCCCCTTGCCTGTTCCAAAAATACAACTCCGTGGTTTGTGTCTTTCACTCTGAGTAACTATTTTGAAGATGATAGACAGTGTATTCACTATTGTTATTCTCTTATTTTGTTATGAAATTTTGTTCTATTTTTTCATAAAATAAAATTTTAAAAAAATGTGCTCCTTGGCAAAAGCGGAAAAAAATATCACTCTGCCAAACTGCTCCACTGCAAGAGACCCACTCCATGTGGGACAAAAGGTCACCGTTACCTGTTGATGAGCGAGACCACAGCTGCAAAGAGCTCTTGGTACAGGCCTGAGGCCATGCCCTCCACGCATTCCGTGCCGGTCATCTTGAACCCTGGAGATGGGGAAGAGGCAAGGTCAGGATCTTGTGGTCACAACAGTGCCCACGGTCCAGGACAGAACTGCAAAGCAGCAGGGGTCACTTGACTACAAAAATGTCCCTTCCCCAGGCACATCCCTCCCTTGTTGAAGTGATGTGATCTGGTTCCTAGGACAAAGTCCAAGTGTCTTATCACATAGCCTGGCCCTACTCCCCTCCAAGTTGCTCTCCTGTTCATTCTTCAGGTCTCAACTTAGAGACCTATCGTGTGGATGTGCAATGTTCCCCACAGGTCCGTGTGTTAAAGGCTTGGTCCCTAGTCCAGGGCACTACTGGCAGGAGATGCAACCTTCAAAAGGTGAGGCATAGCAGGAGGTCTCTGGCCATTGGGGTTGTGCCCTTGTAAGGACCAGTGGGACCCTGGTCTCTTGTGTAAAGTCCCTCCCTCCCCCACCTCATTTTCTGACCACCATGCAGTGAGAAGCTTCCTCTGCCATGTTCTCCCCTCAAGAAATGCTGCCTTGCCACAGACCCAAAAGCAACAGGGCCAAGCAACCAGGGACAAAAACCTTAAAATTGTAAGCCAAAATAAGCCTTTTCTCTTTTTAAATTGGTTTGTCTCAGGTATTTTGTTACAGTAATGGAAAGGTAATACAGTCACCTCCTCAGGGAAGTCTTCTGTGACTACCACCACCACCATTAGGCCAATTCCCAACTTCACTTGCTTTTATACAACCAACTGTAGCCAACTATTTACTTGTGTGATTATTTCATTAAACTGTGTCTCCCCCATGTGGCTGGGAGTGCCCTGAAGTTAGGGACTATCCTTGTGTTTTTTGGTGTTTAAATCCCCAGTGTCTGGCATGGTGTAAAAATACAGTAAATGTTTGCTGTTCCCACTTCCCAGAAGGAAACTTGGTAATTTTATATCAGAAGCTATAACTTATTCATATACTGGGGCTTAATAATTTCATTACTTGTCTTTTAGTCTAATAAAATATTCTGAGAAACAAAGATGCCTGCAGGCACAGGTTCTCCCAAGTGTTGATGAAATTGGCAAGATTACTCTTTTGAAACAACTTCAATGTCCTACAACAGCAAATGGGTAAGATAATTTGTAGTCTGTTTGTGCAAAGGAATGCTCCTAGTCAGGTATAGGCGAATACAAAGTGAGACTGGGAAAGTGCCCACCTACAATATTAGGAAAAATAGAAAAGCTTACAAAACTGTAACTATGGTCATGGTCTCCATTTTGCTTAAACATAAACATGCTTGTGTGCATTCCATTAAAATAGCCAACCTTGACTAGGCTGTATGGAATACAGCAGAGCGGGGAGTGGGAGGGTTAGATCATAAAAAGGCCTGACCCTTAAGTTTGAGTTGCATCTACAGAATCAGAAACCCAGCTTCCAAATCTGCACGCACTAGTGCCTACGGAAATCCTTCCACTTGTACATTCCAGGCAGCCCACTGCAGCCCCCAGAGCACTTCCCATCCCTCCTTTTGCTCCACCCCCACCCTGGGCTGTTGCTAGGCAACACACAGCTTCCCAGAATCTCTCCTAAGCCTGCAGGTCCCCTGCCTGTTTAATGTCTACCCCTGAGACCTGAGCCTGAGAGGCTGACTCAGACTCGCAAAGCCATATGTGTGTCTGTACATGTGTGTGGCATGTATGTCCATGTGCATGTTTGTGGTGCATGCATATGCACGTGTGTAGTGTGTGGCTGTGCATGTGTGTAATTACATGTTATGTCTCTGCATTGGTGTCATGTACTGTCATGTGCATGCATGTAATATGCATCCATGCCCGGGTGCTCTATGCATGTGTTTGTGCCGTGTGTACGTACAGAAGTGTACTGCGCACACCTGTGAGAAAAGAGGGGCAAGAAGACCACAGCTCACTCGAGAGCACAGACCTGGAGGAAACCATAAGAGGCCAATGGGGTTTTAGTGCCATCAGCAGCCCAGGTGAAGTCCCTGGAAAGTGGGGGCAGCTCTGAGGACCCAAGCGAGTTCCAAGAGTTTCCCCAAAAACCACAGCTCAGGGCAATCCCAATCCCTAATCCCAAATTCTGCTGTCTCAAAAAACGCTACTCTCGGAGAGTTCTCAAGAGGCTCCAAGGGTTCCCGGAGGTCCCTTTCCCCTCCTTGTGCAGCCAGGGTGTTTGGCTGGCAAGGCTGCAGCTTTGGGACACCACACACCACCCACACGGGTTCAGAGTCAAGTCCTCTCATTTCCCCCCGGGTCACTTAACAACCCCCTCACTCCTCCAGCCACTCAGACTGAGTCCCAGCAGCCATGCTTGGTCCCTCTCTTCTCTGCTCAGTTTGTAAACCAGACCCAGCAACCTCCCCCTCATCCCATCCCCACCACCTTGTTCCTAATCCAACACCACCCCTCCCGCCTGTGACTTTTATAGGCTCCCAACAGGGTCTCCCGTCTCCCACTCAGCCCAAAACCTTTGTCCAGGCTGAGCTTTATAAAGAAAAAGGCAAATCATGCCCTGCTCCTGCTCAAACCCCTCCATGGCTTCCCATCAGCCTAAGACACACATCCGGGAGAAGGTCCCCTCTGTCCTCCAGACTCCCCTCTGGTCACCCTCCTGACCTGGTCCAGCCACACCAACCTCATTTCTGTCCCACAGACAGAAAGTTCAGTCTTCCCTTCTAAGCAAGCACTCAACAAATACTTCCTTATTTTACAACAGAAACACCTCCATCCCATGGCACTGTCCATAGTGTCCCCCCAGCCTGCTACAGGGCCCCCTCCCAGGATCCAGCACCCTCATGATCACTGGGCAAAGCTGACGTGACTATGACCATCATGCAGTAGGAACATGGCCATGGCCCCCACGGTGGCTTCTTCACACCTGGCACAGAGGCACAGGGTAGGTATTCAGTAAACCCTGGATGGACAAGAGAAAGAATGTCGGTGCATCCCCAGGGGCTGACCCAGAGAGAGGCGGCAGCGTGATACCTGAGCTGGGCTCCTCATCCTTGAAGCCCCAGCGGCTCGGCCCAGATGTCACTTGCTCGATGATCTGCCGCAGGTGGTGCTTGAAAGTAGCTGTGTTCAGCTCCTCATACTCACAGCCCAGGACCTCGGCTGCATGGTTTGCCCACTCAAACCGCATAAACTGCTTCCGGCCCACTGCAAGAGGGACCAGGAAGAGGTGTGGCGGTGAGACCCCAGGCATAGGTGGGTGCACACCCAAGAATACCTCTAAGGGTCTTGCTGGCCCCCAAGCCACCCACCCTCACAGGGAACCTGACAAGGCAGAGCCCCTAGGTAGTGCCAGACTTCCCCAGAGGCACATTGCTCTACGTCCTCACCATCTGCATTTGCTCACTTTGTCAAAGCAATTAAAAGCACTGTGGGGACATGCTTTAAATGTGGGGTTGGGTAACGCTTGGTGACAATGTGATATTTCCACTTATTCATTTATCTACCCATCTCTCATTCACTCACGCAACTGCCCACCCAGCCTTCAGTTCACACCTCCAACCATCCACCCAACCTTCTGCTTATTACTATGCATCCACTAAGTGCCTACTATGTGACAGGCACTTTGCTAACCACTGGGAAACCAATGGTGAGCAAGACAGAACAAGGGACTGTTCTGGTGCCTCACTCAGTCTACTGAAGGAGTGAGACAATGACCAAGGGACTAAATAGAGAAATAAGATAACTGTGGGAGATAACAGCCCCCCCCCACACACACACACATAGCAAGAAGAAACTGGAGCAGCTAATAAGGTAAAGGGAAGCTGAGGGAGCTGTTATCTAGCTAGAGTGCTCCCAGAGGGGTCTGGAAAGGTGTGATCACTGAACTGGACTGGAAAGATGAGAAGGAACTGGCCACATCAAGAACCAGGGAAGTCAAAACAATTAAAGTTGGCACACAATAGCAATACTGGCATAGCCATATTTCCCAGAGCAATTCACAAGAACTAAGCTATGCAGTCAGCTTGGGTAGCTGTCAACAGATGAACGAATAAAGGAAACGTGGCATATAGACACGATGGAATAGTATAAGGAAGAATGAAATCATGTCATGTGCGGGAAAACAGACAGAAATGGAAATCATTATGTTAAGTCCAATAAGCCAGACTCAAAAAGTCAAATATCATGTTTCCTCTCAGATGAGCCATCTAGAGACAAAACTGCAAAGTCTTTTTTTAAAAGGAAAACTAAAGAGAAGAGGGAGGGGACTGGAGCAGTGGAGAGAAAAACAGAGGTGGGTAGTGGGTGGGAAACGATCAAGGAATGTTATGTGCATGTACGAATATGCCAAAATGAAACCCAGTGTTCTGCATAACTAGTATGCACTAATTTAAAAAAAAAAAAAAAAAGAGCCAGGGAAGTACTTTAGAGGAAGGAGAGGCAATGCAAAAGCCCTGAGGCAGAAGTGAGCGCGGTGTGTTCGAGGAACACCATGAAGGCCATGGTGGCTGGACCATAATGGGGGAGGAAGGCACCAGAGGAGGCTGCAGAAGCAATGGGGAGCCACACTATGGAAAGTTATATGGTCACGTAACATTAGCAAGAGAGACCTTGTACAACAAGGACAAGATTTATTATGATTGAATGTTAAGTGAAAAGTAGATGAGAAAACTAGACCATAGCACAGATGTAAGGTTAATCATTCATGAGGGTTATAAAAAGGATAAAAACAGAAATGTAGCCAAATATTAATTAAACCTGGATAAAGAGATTTGGTATTTTTCCATTTTCTACAGTGGTTGTGCACTAATTCTGTAATCCAAATAAAAATAAATGATTTATTAAAGTAAACAACAGTACCATCCTTTAAAAATACTCTCCCACAATTTAGCAATTACAAATTGTGCTACTATGAACATGGGTGCACATATATCACTGTGATATGATGTTTTCAGATCTTCTGGGGAGATACCCAGAAGGGGACTAGCTGGGTTGAATGGGACCTCTAGACCTAGTTTGCTGAGGAATCTCCAAACTGATTTCCCCAGTGGTTTCACCAGTCTGCATTCCCACCAGCAGTGAAGAAGGGTTCCTATTTCTCCACAGCTTCGTCAGTGTTTGTTATTGGTTGATTTCTTAACGATAGCCATTCTTGCTGGGGTGAGATGAAATCTCAGTGTTGTTTTAATTTGCATTCCTTGAAAGACTAACGATGTCGAACATTTTCTCATGTATTCATTTGCCATTTGTATTTCTTTATCTAAGAAGTGTGTATTCATCTCAGCTGCCCATAGTTGGATTGAGTCTTTGAATTTGGGGCAGGGACTGATGTCTTTTAATTCTTTGTATGTTCTAGATAGAAGACCTTTGTCCAAGGGACAGTCAGCTAAAATTTTTTCCCAGTTTGTGGGTTTTCTTTTCACTCTGCTGGTGATTTCTTTAGATGTGCAGAAACTTTTCAGTAGGATGAGATCCCAGTTGTCCATCCACTGAGGAATGGATAAAAAAAATTGTGGTACTTTTATATAATGTAATATTACTCAGTTATAAAGATAAACTCGAGGCTTTTATAGGTAAATGGTCACAAGTAGAGACCATACTCATAAGTGAAATAAACCAGGCCTTCATCTGTAAGCAACATATTGTCTCACTAGTGTAAGAATCTGAAAGAGTGAATAAAAATTAGGAAGTATGATAGACATTGTGAAATGAAAAGAAAATGCTCAAAAGAAAATAGCAACTGGGATGTGGGAAAAGAGAAAAGAAAGAAGGGATATATGTATGTATATACAGGATAGCTAACATAGATGTACTACTGACTTCTATCACTTTTCTGAAAGGAACAGTTAATGATTACTTATTTGATCAATCTTGCATGTATCTATTTTCCTGAGAAACCACTTTGAAGATATCAATACCTAATACAACAACCACTGTTAATTTCCTACCACTTTGTCTGTAACTCTATATTGTTTGTATTGTTCTTATGCTATTTGGTAAATGGAGGTCTGTTTGTTAATATGTTTTCCTGCTTTTATTTTAAAAATAAATTTTAAAAAATAAAAAATAAAAATACTCTCCCATCTCTTATCTTCCCTTAAGTGTGTTTCCTTCTTTGAAACAAGAATGATAGCTGTTCATAGAGATTTTTTAGTCCAACCCAAGAAAAGAGCGACCAACACTTTACAAAGATACCTAGAAGAAACAGTCTGGCTTTTGAGAAAAAAATTTGAAATCTGGCAAAATTATTTCATCTCAACACTATCCAAGCAGGAAGGCAATGGCCTGTCATGAAAGCTAGCACAAGTAACTGCAGCTTACTGAGGTCCACCAGTACACCACGGACTCAGCACTGGTTGCCACACAAGCATCATTTTACCCTCATTTCACTGATTATTCACTTTACAGATGATGAACTAAGACTCAGAGAAGTAATACAGCTAATAAAAAATCATGCCACTTTTGAAAATGATGAAGAAGATGATAATGGTGGTGATGGTGATGATTGATGATGATTGTGGTGATGGTGATGATGGTGGTGATGATGTTGGTGATGATGGTGATGACTGTGGTGATGGTGTGATGATGGTAGTGATGGAGATGATGATGTGGTGATGGTGGTGATGATGGTGATGGTGTGATGATGGTGGTGATAACGAGAGTAGTGATGGAGATGATGATGTGGTGATGGTGGTGTAGGTGTGATGGTGATGGCGGTGATGGTGATGGTGGTGACGATGGTGATGGTGTGATGATGGTGGTGATAATGAGAGTAGTGATGGTGGTGACAGGATAAGAATGATACTGATGTGGATGATTGATGGTGATGATAGTGAAACAGTAGCAATGATGATGGCAACAGTGGTAACTGATGACAGTGATGGTGATAATCATGGTGGCCACGGTAACTGACCATAATGATGATGGTGATGGTGACAATGGTGATGATAGTGGCAACTGAAGGTAGCAATAGTGCCGGTGATGGTGATGAGGATGATGTTGGAAGTGATGATGACAGCACTCATTGATGATGGCGGTGATGAGGAGGAGGAGGAGGAGGATGGTGATGATGACGAAGATGGTCGTGGCCATAAGGATGGTGATGAAAGTAGTAAAATTTATTGCCTTCATTTCATTCACCCTGGCCTCTTATTTAGCTCATGGCTTCTGGCGCTAGAGAGCTGGTGATAGACGTCCACATATGACATGTGGCAAAAACCCAATACATCATCATTGCAAACATTTGTTGTTATTATTGTTAAATCTTCACAAAAGTCTTAGAAAGCACTATTACCATCTGTACATTATCAGTGAGAAAACAGACTCGGAGAAGGCTCCAGAACACAGACTGTACTAAATGGAAGAACTACTGTTTCACCAAAACCAGTTCCTCCAATAACATCTTCAGGATATTTGTCATATCCTTATGACCCTGGATATACTTTCTTTTAAATGAACTTGCTTATCTCTTTCATGGAAATAAATACATTGTGCAAGGAAATGTTATTGCACTATCTTAAATGAGAATCCATTATCACCCATCACAATGGAAAATAAAAATAAATACAATACACGCACCAAAGTGCCATTAGACTCTAATTAGATGCATTACCTGTGAGCCCAAAGTCCTCTCTCTGTTAGAAGGGAGATAAGCAAGTACTAGAGAGAGGCCTTGAAGGCTGTTATCACTGAATGAGACCATCCTCTTCCTGGTGGGGACTGAAAGTCAATAAAATAGGAAGTGACTTTCTAGGTGGGTGTCTCCTGTCCGTCTCCTGTCCCACCACTCTCCACGGCTGCTCTGCAGTACAGTCTCCCACGCCCTACCTGCTGTGACTTCCTGACCACAGTGAGCTGGGAGAAGTCAGGAAGGGACTTGGTCATCGCTGTTTCTGGGAAGAGGCGCAGGCAGACTCCGCAAATCCTTCCTGCGTTAGGGGGTCAGCTGAGCGCTACTGAGAGGCACCCTGCTCATGAATCGGAGAGGGTACTCAGGAGGCGGGGCAGGAGTGTGTGTCCTCCGCCCAGGCCCCACAAGGCCTGGCTGGCACACAAAATCCCACCCCGTACATTCCTCTGTCTTTGCTCAGGCTGAGGCAGTGGCCAAAGTCTTCCCAGGGAGGCCGAAAACCCTGAGATGCCGCCCAAAGCAGTGAGAACTGGAACTGGGCTAGAACATGGGCAGTGGAACAAATATTTCCATCTGG